GTAGCTCGCTGCGGTCTGCGTGTCCCAAATTGCAGCTCCTTTGCTATTCCCGAATACACTCAGTGTCTGGTGTCTTGAGCTTGTCCTCCTCTCTTTTAGGTTCACCTTGCATGGTGTCAGAAGTGGGATCTGAAGGTGCCAGCTGCGGGGCACTGTGACTCCTGGGATCGAGCGAGGTACTCACATTTGAGCCTTTTGTGCTCTTTGCTTCTACGGAGTCACCATAACTTTCCGTTTGGTGAGTCTTCCCCAATGTCAGGCTCCCTTGTTTTGGTAGAACTCTCAGACTTTGTTCAGGATTTGTCGTACTCTTGTTCTTAATCTGATCATGGGATCCCAGTCATCTAAATGGTCTAAGAGTGGCCCCCTTTCAGGAACCCTGGCCAGTTTTTCTTTAAAAGATGATGGTCCTTCCTCATACCCGGTGTTGACAATATGGACCAGTCTTGCTAGAAAAGGTAACTTGGAGCCCTGACGGCCATTCTGGGACACCTTTCATCTCTTCAGACTTGTTTTTCTCCCAACCGAGTTAGAAAATTAAAACAGTTCAAGTGGGATAGTTATTTTCGTTGGTATCTGAAGGTTTCTAAACGTGTTCAGAATTCTAAAATTGCACCTTTACAAAATATTGTTTCCAAAGTGACTGAAGCAAATAAACAACTAAAGGTGGATAAAAATAAAGTGTTAGAGGCTTCTTTCTTGGTGCTGGCCGAGGTTCCCTCCTACACCCCCCCCCCCCCCCACTGCCCCACCTCCTTACACATCCCTCTTTGCCTCATCACCCTTCCCCTGTATCTGAACTTTCTTTCCTGTCACTGAAACCTCACCATCCTAACCCATTAAAACCTTTCCTTTCAAAACTGACTTTGTGAGGATGCTGTTAAACCACCCCAAATTTCCTGTACCCCATGGATAAAAAGCTGAGCTTAGGGCTATAATTAAGGTCTTTCCCAAGGTAACTGAGGATCTTTGTAGATTTGTGGAATTCACCAATCTGGGCTGTGGTCTCTGTCCGTTAGTTGACATGCCTCTTGGAGAAGGTCAAGCCCAGCGCTGGATGAATGCTGCTAGTTGGAAACCCCCTGAACAGTCTCTAGGGTTTAAACTAGACCAGCCGCCAGCCCTTTCACATGACCAAGCTTGTAGTGTATAACCACGAGGCTACACGAAGTCATCTGTGGGGCTAGCCTGTGGACTAGACTCAGATTCAGGCATGCACCCAGAAGCCAGCTGAATCCGTCCATGACTGTTACGTGACTGTCCGTGACTCCAAGTTGTTGTCAAGGAAATTCCAAGCTTCCCATAGATGTTGAGTCCACCCAGATGAGCTCTGACTCCATGTTTGTAAATGGGACTAAGGAAGGACTTAACACTGTTGATCAAAACAGCCGGTATGGGACAGGCATGGAGGCTCCACAGCGGGTGTGACCTGCAGGGTCACGTTAGCATTGCAGACAGTCTGCCCACTGGAGAAAGGGTTGCTCTAAATTGAAATCCAAACAGTTGCAGCCCCCCGAGGAGCAATGGCCAAAGCCACCCCAGTGATGGGACTCTGAGGACACGTGGGGATTATTTCCCAGCCTTGTGGGAGGGAGACTAAATAGGATGGGAAGACTGCTTTCCAGATTGGGGACCAATTTTCTCACTGTATCAATTAACACAGGAACCACCCTGTCAGTGCTCAACCCCAAATTAAAGTGTCCCTTCTTTAGATAATACATACGTTCCGACAGCGGGGCTCTCAGATGAAGTACCATACGTTCCTGTTTCTTAGCCCGTATCCTTTCGTCTGGGTCCTTTGCAAGACAACCAACCATTTCTTCTCAGTGATTTAGCTCCCGTACATTGATCTAGGATGAGCTTTCCCAGAGATACACATTGCCTTTTTTGTTCCTTTCCCAAAGCGGAAATATTCCTTGAGGTCAAATCCAGTACTCAGGAAAATTTCAGGGCTCTTTATTGCAGTCTACAAACCAAAGACGACCAAACTTTGGTCTACATCCCCTGGCACCCCCACTCTTTGGGCAAAGCCCTCAACAGACAGAGGCAGAATTCATAATGCTCCTCCCTTTAATAATCCAGATTGACCTCTCAAAACTTCTTCCAAGAATAAATCAACATCCTATAAATAATAAGAGGCCTGGAGCACCTGGGGTAACTCAGTTGGTTAAGCATCTGACTTCGGCTCAGGTCATGATCTTGCAGTTCGTGGGTTTGAGGCCTGCGTCAGGCTCTGTGCTGACAGTTCAGAGCCTGGATCCTACTTCGAATTCTGTATTTCCCTCTCTCTCTGTCCCTCCCCTGCTCGTGCATTCTCTCTCTCAAAAATAAACATTAAAAAAAAATAAGAGGCCTTATCAGGGTATAAGGTTTATCATAGATTATAAGAATTCGTTATCCTTTGTACTAGTGCTTGTAATATCCCTATTTTACCCATAAAAAAACTCCTCTGGCCAAGGATGGAGATTGGCCCGGCATGTTAAGGCAGTAAACACTAATCCCTTCACCCTGTTGTCTCTGGTCCGTACACTGTTGGTTGCCATTGGATTCCAGACTTCTTTTTTCTTGTTTAAGGTTTATTATTTTTGAGAAAGAGAGAGTGGGGGTGGGGTGGAGACAGAGGGAGAGACCAAGGATTTGAAGCTGACGGTAGAGAGCCCAATGTGGGGCTCAAACTCATGAACCCTGAGGTCGTGACCTGAGCTGAAGTCACACACTTAACCAACTGAGCCACCCAGGCGCGCCTGGATTCCAGACTTCTTAATGGCCCCTTTATGCCACACTCGAGAACACCAAACCTGATCCCATTGTTTGGGATGACCAAAGTGACTTCTTTAGGATTTTGAAGGAAGCTGGTAAGTCCACCTACACTTGGACACCCAAATTACCAGCTGCCCTTTTTCCTTTTTGTATATGAGAAGGAAGGGGATACCCTTAGACTACTTACCAGAAATGCGGAGTTGTCCCAGACTCCTAGGCTCCTGTAGCCAGCAGTTCGATCCACTGCCTGAGGACGTCCCCACGGCCTCAGAGCTCTGCTGCCACCATTCATACTAAAGGCTACTGCAGAGGGAGTCGGCGTCTTCCTCCACTCTTTATGCTTCAGGGCTATTGAGGCTTCCTTGGGTTCATACCACGCTCAGTGCCTTGCAGCGAGCTCTTCCCTCCTGTGAGACCCTCTTACTAACCGCCCCCCATGTCACTCTTGCTTACTGGAACCATCTCAACCCTGCTTTCCCTTCTCCCTCCTCCCCTGATGAAATTCCCCGTGACTCTCTGATTTGGACGGATCAGCTGGTGACCCCTTGTGAGGTGTTCCAGGAAGCCCCTTTGACAAACATTGATCTTTCCCGGCTAACTGATGGCTCTTACCTAAGCTGTGAACATGCTGTATCCTGTGCTGGGTGTGTGATGACACTTCTGTGTGGGGCACGTGATAACAGTTTTGAGGTTGGTAAGTCTGCACCTCTGCCTTTGGCTTCTGGAGCTAAACAAGCTGAATCACATGCCTTCACTGGAGCATGCATTATAGCCGAAAGCAAGACAGCAAACATGGATACTGACATCCAACATGCCTTTGGGGTGGCCCATGACCTTGGAATGGTAGGGAAACAACAGGGCTTCCTCACTTCCAGTGGAGGTAAAGAATGGCTCTTATTCCGGTAAAGAAATGGGCAAAAGACATGAACAGACACTTCTCCAAAGAAGACCTCCAGATGGCCAACCGATACGTGAAAAAATGCTCCACATCACTCATCATCAGGGAAACACAAATCAAAACCATGACAGGATACCACCTCACACCTGTCAGAATGGCTAACACTAACCACTCAGGCAACAACAGATGTTGGCGAGGATGTGGAGAAAGAGGATCTCGTTTGCATTGTTGGTGGGAATGCAAACTGGTGCAGCCACTCTGGAAAACTGTGGAGATTCCTCAAAAAACTAGAAACAGAACTACCCTACGACCCAGCAATTGCACTACTAGGCATTTATCCACGGGATACAGGTGTGCTCTTTCTAAGGGGCACATGCACCCCAGTGTTTATAGCCACGCTACCGACAATAGCCAAAGGATGGAAAGAGCCCAAATGTCCATCGACGGATGAATGGATAAAGAAGATGTGGTGTGTGTATATATATGTGTGTGTATATATATATATATATACACACACACACACACACACACACAATGGAGTATTATCACTCGGCAATCAGAAAGAATGAAATCCTGCCATGTGCAACAATGTGGATGGAACTAAAGGGTGTTATGGTAAGTGAAATTCGAGAATGACAGGTGTCCTGTGACTTCACTCATATGTGGAATTTAAGGTACAAAACAGATGACCATAGGGGAAGGGAAACAAAAATAACGTTAAAAGGGGACAAAACAGGCCCAGTCTTAAAGTATAGCAGTTCTTAACCACCACTCAGTATGCCCACCTTGCATATCGTAGGAGATAGCAGGGGAGTCTGCTAATAATCTCAGTCTTGCTTAAAAGAGCTACTGTCCCAGCCACTGTTTTCCTGGCCCTTTCAGGAGTTGGAGAGGGCTTCAGGGAGGAGAAGGAAGGCCCCAGTGCCCAGTGGGATATTGTCTGGGGACACTGAGCACATGGAGAAAGCAAGAGAGCCACAGTGGCTGCTCCTGTCCCCAACTATCTCCGCCTTTGCCCCTACTTCTCCCACCCCCTCAAAGCTTCCCAGGAATTTAAAAAAAAAAAAAAAGATTAAAAAAAATACAAAGGGACAAAACAAAAGAGACTCTTAGTATAGAGAACATACTGAGGGTTGCTGGAGGGGTTGTGGTTGGGGGATGGGCCAAATGGGCAAGGGGCATTAAGGACGATACTTGCTGGGATGAGCACTGAGTGTTATACGTAGGGGATGAATCGCTGGATTTTACTCCTGAAATCATTATTGCACTAGATGCTGACTAACTGGGATGTAAAATTAAAAACAAGAATGGCTCTTCTGTCTAAAATCTGTTGGCCGCCGTAATGCCACCAGCGGCTCTGGCTGTTGCTACGTGTCGCAGGTCTGATCCCCTGGAAGCCAAAGGAATCTGCCTCACCGATACCCCTGTGAGAAATGCCACCCTCATGAGCTCCGCTGACCAAACCTCTGTCGTGGCACAGAAGACGACCCCCCAGCGGGGACCTCAGGTGTGAGGCAGGAAGTACGACAGCCGGCCTCCGAAAGGGAAGAGCAGGGTTGGAAATCTAAAGGCTGCTGGCACCACAAAGAAAAGGGACTCTGGTTTGGACCCGTTAATAAGCCGATCCTGCTAGAAAGTCTGAAGTGTTCCTTTTTGCCCCCTGTACCTGAGTTAAGCCATTGGTTCCCTGAGAAACGGTAACTTCTGTGGATCAGTATTGGTAGGAGACAGCAGCAGGGCCACAACAAGTGCTGTCTTGCTTCCACCTGACCCTGAGTATAGCCCAGGGAAGCCTGTTTGCACCGCCCCGGGAAGTTGTAGTTTTCCCGCTGGACCATTCGAGCCCTGGGAGGTGGATTTCACACGTTTGCCCCGCCCCACGGACACAGCCATTCTCTAGCGATAGTTAGTCAGTCTTTTCACATGGGATTGAAGCATTTCCACGCGGGAAAACGACTGCCTCTTCTGTGGCTAAAGTCCTTCTGCCAAACATTGTTCCCGCTTGGGGAGCACCGTGGTGGCCGGGGGACCTACTTCGCTCGGCAAGGACTTGGACAAGTCTGTGCCGTCTGGCCAATTCTACAACGCTTTCGCTGTGTTTATCCTCAGACTTCGGGACTGGTCCAACGTATGGAAGAATAACGATCCAGGTTGCTACCTTAGTTGAAGCCTCCAAATACCTTGGCCCAAAGTACTGCTCCCGGGTCTTCTAAATCTCAGATCTGCTCCGTCCAGTATTCATAAACTCTCACCTTTTGAAATAATCACAGGACAGACCATGTATTTAGCTGCTGCTTCCTTTGACCCACAGCTAAAGAAAGGGCACATATGTTAGTTTCGTAAGGGTCTAATTAAATCCACCGAGAATCGTCGTGTTTGTGGTGTGGACGATCTTTCCACAGCAAGCTCCCTAGAGACAAAAGACGTCACATTGTACAGCCAGGCGAGTCCATCTGCTAGAAACAGCGTCTCCGTAAAGATTCACTCCGGCCTCATTGGAAGGGCGCCTGCCAGGGGGTACTGACGAACCCCTGTGCCACCAGGTTCCAGGAGACAGACTCCCGGGGTCACACGTGCCGTCTACAAGAGCGTAAGTGGACCTGCACCCCATCTGGTGACTTAAAGCTAAACATTTTTGAGGACTGAAGCACATGACACTGGAAGAAGACCACCTACCCCAGACGCTCGGGCCCGGCCTATGGAGCCTCCCCTTTGACGGTATTCGGTATCATTGAGCAACCGAATCCTGCTTCAAGTTGTAGTTGTCCTTTCGCCGGCCTACTCGCCGCCCCCTCCTTTGCCTCTTTGGCTCTTATGTCCAAAATCTGTTGGCCGCCATAATATTTCTCACCTTACAAAAACTCTTTGTTCCCACCAACCCTCTGATGGTTGGATTTGCACCGGAGTTAACACTGGTGATAAACCTGAATGGGTGGTCTGGCCATTTTCCTTAGAAGGATGGCAAGAGCTTTCTAGCAGATACGGGGTTTTCTTCTGGTACTTTTGGGGCTGTACGTATTCTCCCTTCTGGCAAATTGGCACCAGCCGTTAAGCATTCCGTTTGGTGCTCCTCACCCATAAAGGGATACCCTTCACTCAAGTCCGTGCGTTTACCCAAGGTCTTTTCTCTATTTCACAAACAGTAATGGGACTGGCAAAACTTGAGGCCGCCTCCCAGTAGACTTGTAACTATACAGTGGTGCGAGACCCAGAAGACTGGGAGTACATTCCCCGCTGGAATCTAGAAGACTCCAAGGTCTTCTCTATCAGTGTGTCTGGTGGGGTGGCGAAAATGATAAGGGCACTGGGAATGGGAAGCTGACTGGTCTCCTTTTGGTGGGAACTTCATTCAGCATGCCTTCTCCCCGGGAGATCCCCAGACCTCCGTCACAACCTCCCCTGCAGCCGTCATGCTCACCTGGTAACCCACGTATATTGAAGCTTAAGACATTCCTATAACCGTCTCCGCGGTGCTAACCAGTTGTCACCTGTTAGTGTGAGTGAGTATGTTTTTAGTCACGAGGTCTCTCTCATTCTGGGGAAAAAAACTAATCTAGCAAAAGGGTCCACTGAGGCCCTGTCTTGAGAAAACACTAGTTATGTTTTTCTGTGTGGCAGAAACATGTTCCACACTCCTCCTGGAAAGGATGCTGTGGTGTTAATTGCCCCCGTTCCTGATGCCGAAGGCGGGAACACCCTTCCGCCCGCCACTCCCATATCCAATCTGGGTTCTTTCTCCTGTCTTTTCTCTCTCTCTCTCTCTCTCTCCCCCTCTCTCTCCCCTACTGTCTTGAAAGAGCACATGATAACAGGGACGGATACGGTTTCGGGTGGTTGCCCACGAATAGCCCAACAGTGGATAGAGAGGGATTTGGATATGCCTTTGCCTGAGCCTTTCCCTCGGGTGGGAGTAGCAGAGCTTACAAAGGCAACTCCGAATCTGTGGTTCTACCTTTACTGCTCCTTTGAGTGCTTCTGAACATCAGCGGACCCAGACAGACAGTCGCAGAAGGTAGTCCTGAGCCGTCTCCCGTAGTAGCAGGGAGGAACCGGTGCCCTGTCTGGGGAAGAATGCTGTTTGTATGTAAACAAATGGGGGGAATACCTGAAGAACTAAAAATAATGAAATGTAGGGGCGCCCGGGTGGCTCAGTCGGTTAAGCGTCCGACTTCGGCTCAGGTCACGATCTCGCGGTCCGTGAGTTCGAGCCCCGCGTCGGGCTCTGTGCTGACAGCTCGGAGCCTGGAGCCTGCTTCGGGTCTGTGTCTCCCTCTCTCTCTGATCTTCCCCCATTCATGCTCTGTCTCTCCCTCTCTCAAAAATAAATAAACATTAAAAAGTTTTTATGGGGGGCGCCTGGGTGGCTCAGTCGGTTAAGCGTCTGACTTCGGCTCAGGTCATGATCTCATGGTCCGTGAGTTCGAACCCCGCGTCGGGCTCTGTGCTGACAGCTCAGAGCCTGGAGCCTATTTCAGATTCTGTGTCTCCCTCTCTCTCTCTGGCCCTCCCCTGTTCATGCTCTGTCTCTCTATCTGTCTCAAAAATAAACATTAAAAAAATTTTTTTTTTTTTTTTTAATAAAAAAAAATAATAATGAAACGTAATACCAAACTGTGAACTGGAATAAGCCAGGCCCTAGAGACCTAGGACGTTTTCAGCTTCCTAAATCACGGGCAGCGAGGGAAACTGGCTGAGGAGTTTTTCCAGCCAGTAGCCATAATTGGACTTTGGGCCCTGGGTTTAACCCTCTCGCTGAAGTTTGTGCTGCCTCGTGTCAGGAAGGGGCCTTCCTCCTAGACGTGTGTACAAACTAGAGTTCTCTTCCTTCCCAAGACTTAGCCTGAAGCTCCACTGGGAGGAACATGGCCGAGATCCCCCATTTCGTGACTTTTTTGTTCACATGTGGCCTGACGCCCTCTGGATGCGTCCCTCCCGTGAGGACAAACATCTGGGGACGGTCTTCCTGGGTTCTGACGGGCTCCGTCCGCTCACAGCTAAGGACAGCTCTGAACAAGACCCCGTACAGACCAGTTGACCGGCGCTGCCTTCTGTGGCAGAGGCCGATCACAGGGACGCCCGGCAGGATTGTGTCCTTCGATGGGAGCGAAGGTGTCAGGTGGGGAGTCTCACACGTGCGCCCTCAGCAAAGCGGACCCGAGGACCGTCAGGCTGACTTCCTGTAAACGCTTGATTTCCAGAACGTGGAAGTCGTCTCCCCCCAGTGAGTGTCCACCAGGAATCTCTCCCCGTCTTTGAGCCGTCCAGCTTGCTGCATGGCTCCCGACTCGCTTTTCCTCTTTGTCCTCTGCCCGTAAAAGCGGGCACCCTAGACCTCCGGTGGACTCGCCCCTAGCTCTCGAATTGCGGTTCCTCTGCTTTTCCCCAGGAGGCTCTCTTTCTGGTTTTGGAACTTGCCTCGGATTGTCTCCTTTCTTTTAGGTTGACAGACCCCCGAGTCCTCATCGTCCCAGCTGGGGGACCTCGGTCAGGCGGTTCGCCTTCCCAGCCTCAGTGTCGTCCCCTACCCGCCGGGGGTGTTCGCTCCCTGGCAGAGTTGGTGTCGGGCGTAAACTGTAGGGAAGTGCCTGTCGCCGTGGGGCCCTCGCCACTACACGAGGTGTTGGCACCAGGTGTGTGGTTTGATGGGCAGCTACCGACTCGGGGTCAGGGCTGGAGCCCGTCCGCTGGGCTGGCGGTGCCGCTGCTTCTGGAGAGCAGGCCCCTCCCGGCACTCAGCACGCGTGTGGCCTCCGGGGTGCTAGCGGAGACACCGCCACACGGTGGAGCCACGCTGCGGTGGGTGCCTGCGGGGAGTGAGGTTGGCAGGAGGTGCGGGCGTCCGTTCGTACTGTTCAACCCAGAAATCCTGCTGTTGGCGTGGAAATAAACAACGGGGGCCCCCCGGCAGCCACACAGACGACCGCATTCGGACAGACGTTAGCGAAGGCGTGTTGTAGGGAGAGCCGTCAGGACTCCACGGCTGGCACCTGCTAGGCGGGCGCCTCAGCTCTTAGGGTCTGGCATCAGCTGTCACTTTGCAGACTCCCCTGTCCCGAGGTCTGCGCTCGCGGAACGGAAGCTCGGGGCCCCGCGCCGGCTGCGGTAGCGAGCTGCAGGGGGGCGGGGCTGGGAAGCAGGGTCGCAGTGGGTGGCTAGGAAGGGCAGGGATTCACATTTGTGTGGGGTGACTGGACTCCACAGAAGGTCGCGGGGACCAGGAAAGGTCTTTAAAAGTCACTGACGTGGGGGCTGTGAGGCGGAGGGCCGTTGTGGCCAGCCCCCGCCGCACCTGTTGAATTCTCTTCCTTCTGCTTTGCATCTGCAAAAGCAAAATCACTTAAGAAAACGCAGTTGAGTTCAATACAAAACGCTTGTAGATCATAAATTCCGGCTATTTTTCTTCAGTACAAAGTGTTCAGTTGCTGTTTTGTTTGAAGCATTGTGACTGAGGGGCTCGGGCTTTGCTCTAGTGCCTGAGAATAAGACGTCGAC